AAAAAAAAAAAAGAAAGAAAGAAAGAAAGAAAAAAAAAGAAGAGGCGCGGGCGAGTAAACTCGAAAGCAATAAGCGATACAGTAGTGTCGGTTGTGTAGCGAGGATTCTCGGGTTGTATCTCTCTTGGAATCTCAGAGAATCAGATCACAATGAAGGACCGGGCTTTCCCGGGCCGCTATTTCTTGTTCCCAGATGAGCACCGCACACAAATGGGAGGTTTTCACGTACCTGACGCCAACCTTCTGCGACCACTGCGGCTCGATGCTTCACGGTATCGCGCATCAGGGACTTAAATGTTCAGGTAGTTAACAAACAACAACATTCAAATCAAACAAATTCAGTCCGTAATTACATTTCCACGAAGCGGCTAGATCTCGCACGCGTTTTGTCTCTTCACGTAGCTATCTTCGAAATAAAAAAAAAAAAAAAGATTCGCATTCGTCTAGATTCGAGTGAAAACAGTTGCTATTTGCGTATTTTTTTTTTTATTTAATATCTCCTCGGTTAACCCGTTACTTGCGTCGCAAAAAAAAAAAAAAACGAGATTGGCGCTGTCTCCATCTCGAATCCAGTTGGATCGCGATACTCCTGTATTACGAACTCGATTCGATCTCCGCTGATATTCTTCTTCCGCGATTACGTAGTAGCTGATCGAACACAAATTTTCGCTCGAAATTTCCCACCTAAATATCCGAAATAACGCGGTATTAAAGCTTCGCTTTCGCCTCTCACTATCGATCTTCCCTTTCTCTTCCCTAACTTTATCTCCTCCCTCCCCTCCCTTCACGAATCGCAAGCTCCAGTTTCTCTACGAATTCTCAATTTACGTTTACGATCCATCTTCTCTTTTCTCCATGTTCGTTTATTTTTCTCGTCTCCGCGGTTATCTCCATTTCTTCAATGTTTCAACAAGAGAAACATATTTTCTTGCCTCCCAACACCTACCTATGTTTATGCGGATATAATCGATTGGACTGAAGCAGAGAAACGACGTCGACACGTGAAAAAAAATATTTCTATTTTTTTATCCAACATTTTTCGCGATTTCTGCAAACATCGTTTTTATCGTTTTCGTAGACTTTGTCGTCATTGTCGTTATAATCTTCGTCTTCGTTTAGTCGTCGTCGTTGTCGTCGTCGTCGTCGCCATTGTCATTTTCGTATTCGCAGTTTCGTTCTCGTTCTCTTTCACTCTCTCGGTGGTGTCTCATCATCTTCGTCATACTTTCGTCGACTTATCTTCTTACGATTCGCTCTCTCAACATTCGCTGTTCTTTTTCGTCCATTCTCCATTTATTTAACAAACGAGATTAAAAATTTTGCGAATTCGATCAAAATGCGGTATATTGTCACGTACACAAGAAATTCGATTAATATAACGAATAACTTCAAGGGAAGAAACGCTAGCCTGTTGCTCGTGTTTTGGTTCCGCACACTTTCGATCGGTGTAAAACGATACTCCGGTTCCGACTGCGAAGCCGGGAACCTTGCACTTGGTCGTTCGCCTATTAGCCCTCTCCCCCCTCGCTTGCTTATCCCATTGCTCTTTTTGCCACTGTTCTCTCAGTCGGGAGAGCTCAGCGCCTTTTATATGTATACACGTAGAATGTTACCTTTGTTACGTATTTTACCGACACTTTACGTACGATATCTCACGTCCGTGAAATTTTTTTTTTTTTTTTAACGTATCTCGATCATTGTACATATATGATTCTATATACACGATTGTACATACGATGCATGCTCGTCGTTATAGTACATGTATATAACGTAGATTTATACCTTTTTTTTTCGCTCGGTATCGACCGAACGCGTAGAATACGACACACTTCTCTTCGATCGGTGTGCAACAACTCTCTTTCTCATTGGGCATTATTTACAGACCGTTATATATTTATACTCAACCTTAATATTAGATTTTATTCGACCAACACGTATATAATACACCTGTATACATGTATTTTTCGATTTATCCTCTGTTTCGACTTTATCCCCTAATGTTCCGCGCTCGAGGGGACCATATGCACGTCTCGATTTACATGTGTATGTATGTAAATGTGTAATATTTCGCGATCGCTATTTTTTTTTTTTTTTATTCCTTTTTTACTCTATCGGCACCGAATGTATGTAGATAACGATTTGTTCAATTGACAATTATAAACGACCACACGTAGTTTATCGTAGTGGCCGCTTCTCGTTGCATTATTCCACCTTTCGTAGTCAAAGGATTACGAGGATTATTATCGTATAATTTTTTCTCTTTTTTTCTCTCTCTCTCTCTCTCTTCTTTCTCTTTTCTTTTTCTTCCTTTCTCGAAGAAATGTGGAATGGAAACGATAATTTCCTCGTAATTCGTTCTATTATCCTTCACGATACGAGCACGAACCACCGTCTCAATCGAGCATGCGTTTCGAACGGTTGTTCGTCGAGTTTCGCGCGTGTGCACTTTCGACTGCAGCCGCGATCGTGCGTCTCGATTCATTTTCTCTCCATCGAGAGGAAAAGTAAAAGAGAAACGAACGGGTTCGAGTATTCCGTACTTGAATCGAACCGATAATTAACGGGAGAGGGGAAAAAAAGAAAAGAAAAGGAAAAGAAAGGAAAGGAAAGGAAAGGAAAGGAAAGGAAAGGAAAGAAACGGTCGGCAGCTGCAGTTTCGATAGCGAGTGAAACGCGTGAAAAACCGCGCCCCTATCCTGCATCCCGCTGCTCGAACCAACACTTTCAGGCAAAAATGCCAAAGAAAGAAAAGAGAGAAAAAAAAAGATAGTATAAAATAATGCAAAAAAATGAAAAAAAAAAAAGAAAAAAAGAGGAAAAGATAAAAGAAAGAAAAAAAAAGATAATGAAAATAAGAGAAAATAGATATACGAGATTGCCGGTCTGGTTGCAACGTAAACGTGCCAGCGAACGTTGGACCACGATTATAATCGATCATGATCTAATAACGTGCAGCATGCGACATGAACGTTCACAAGAGATGCGAGGAGAGCGTGCCGAATCTTTGCGGATGCGATCATACGGAGAGACGTGGTCGTATAAATTTGTACATCTCGTGCTCCGGAAGCAAGCTCACGGTCGAAGGTAAGTAGCGCCCTATCTTATCATTATAGTTCTCGAGCTTTCAACCTTTCGCGATCGATTCCCTAACTTTTTTTTTTTTTTTTTTTCTCTTTTTCTTCTTTTCTCCGAAGAGAAATAATTTTCTTATTTATACACAACAAAACCACCGATATAATTCGACGAGTATCGAGTAAAGGCGTAAGCAAGGATTTATTAATCTTTTTCACTCGCTTTCCTGCGAGTGATTGGCATTAAAAATACCTTCGAATCGATTTATCGACGACGCTTTCGTCAAACGGGTGTTGAAGAGGTGTGGAACAGGGCCTCAACGCGACTAACCCAAGATCTTTGTATATTATTAGATCGTTGTTACCGGTCAAATTAAACCTCCTCCGATTCAAGGCCGGTACTTTAATTATCGCGGATGAGATCTTTTTTTCCCATCATATCTATACGTGTGGATAATCCACGCGAGAAGAAGGTTGAAAGGCTTTTGATAGGAGGAATAAAAGACGCGTTTTCTATGCATTCGTGTATTGTGAATTTCCAGTGAAACAGGGGCGAAATTTGATTCCGATGGATCCAAACGGATTGTCGGATCCATACGTCAAGTTGAAGTTGATTCCAGATTCGGACACTGTGAAGAAGAAAACGAAGACGATCAAATCCTCGTTGAATCCCGAATGGAACGAGACCATCATTTTGTGAGTGATATTATATATATATATATATATACAGTTGGATGAGAAAAATTATTATATTAATTAAATTATTATTAAATAATTAAATAATTATTAAATTATTATAATTAGAAAAATTATATATATATATATAATTGGATGAGGAAAAAAATTTATTACTTTTTTCCCCTGTTTTCCAGCGACTTGAAACCCGAGGACAAGGACAGGCGGCTTTTGATCGAGGTTTGGGATTGGGATCGAACGTCGAGGAACGATTTCATGGGCTCCCTCTCCTTCGGGATATCGGAGCTTATCAAAGCGCCCGCCAACGGCTGGTTCAAACTGCTCACCCAAGAGGAGGGGGAATATTACAACGTACCTGTTCCGGAGGAGGGTGTCGATCTCGCCGAGTTGAAGATGAAGATGCGAGTACGTTTATTATTTAACCTTCTGCGCCCGACACGGTGCGCTCTCGTGGTTCGATGCGACTCGAAAGATGGCTCTCGGCCATCATTTGGATTCGAATACGGTGACAATATATATTTATTTATTTATTTATTTATGATTGATTGATTGATTTTTTTTTTAAAATAATATAGCTTCGGCTCTTTCCTAACTTCTTTACGTCTAATATATGATAATATTATGAAGCGTAGAATAATATAATGTCGAATAGATTTTTAGATTTTCTTATTTCAAATTAGATTAAGATCTAATTCGACATTAGAATTAGTGGTAATAGGAATATTATTTTAAAAGTTTTTGAGTTTTGTGAGCATAGAATTGTGTAGAATGATTAGTTTAATGAAGATGAAGAGTTTAATGAGGAAATCTAGCACTGAACTGGAAATTATTTCAAAATTATTTTTTCTCGATTTCGAGCTTATAGATTTAATTTTTAGAAAGCAATATTGCTTTTTATTATAATTTATTGCTCCATTGAAAATATATAAATAACATAAAGACATAAGTAAACGTATAAAAGAATTAACATTTATATAAATATACAAATACATTATTTTAGAAAAATGAAGCGTATGATATAACTTGAAATAAAATAGGAAAAAAAAAAATCGATAAAAATCAAAATTTTCTTTTTTAAATACAAAGTCGTCTCTCTTAGCGCAAACAGCGAAGATTCACGACTCGATTCGTTTTCCTCCCCGCAGAAGACCTCGGTCACGAAAAAGACGACCACCACCCAGGACAAGGAGGTGCCCCACAACATGGGCAAGAGCGACTTGATAAGGGCGAGCGATTTCAACTTCCTAATGGTGCTCGGCAAAGGCAGTTTCGGAAAAGTTCGGTTAATTCCTTCCTTCTTCTTCTTCTTCTTCTTATTCGTTCACGCCCTCTCCTTCCAAAGGTGATGCTGGCCGAGAGGAAAGGTACCGACGAGCTGTACGCGATCAAGATTTTGAAGAAGGACATCATCATTCAGGACGACGACGTGGAGTGCACCATGGTCGAGAAACGCGTGTTGGCGTTGTCCACCAAGCCGCCATTTTTGGTCCAACTGCACTCCTGCTTCCAAACCATGGATCGCCTCTATTTCGTGATGGAGTACGTGAACGGTGGGGATTTGATGTACCAGATACAACAGTGTGGCAAGTTCAAAGAGCCTGTCGCTGTGTGAGTGATCCCCCTCCAAACTGAACCAAGTCCACCAATAACGTCCTTCGATTAAAAAAAAAAATTCTTCGTTTTTATCTCTAGATTCTACGCGTCCGAAATAGCGATCGGCCTTTTCTTCCTCCACGGCCGAGGTATCGTGTACCGGGATCTGAAGTTGGACAACGTTCTGCTGGATCAGGACGGTCACATCAAGATTGCCGATTTCGGTATGTGCAAGGAGGGGATCAGCGGCGACAAGACCACGAAAACGTTCTGCGGGACGCCCGATTACATCGCGCCGGAAGTTAGTTGAAATTTTCCCTTCTTCTTGATTTTTTTAATACTACGTTACCGATTGATCGTTACCGATTGAACGTTACCGATCGAGTCTCTCCTTCGGTACAGATCATATTGTATCAACCGTACGGGAAGTCGGTCGACTGGTGGGCGTACGGAGTGCTGCTGTACGAGATGTTGGTCGGTCAACCACCGTTCGACGGTGAGGACGAGGAGGAATTGTTCGCAGCAATAACCGAGCATAACGTCAGCTATCCGAAGAGTTTGTCAAAGGAGGCGAGGGAAATTTGTAAAGCGGTGAATACGAGTCTTCTCCCTCTTACTAAAGGCTTTGAGCTTTCAAACGTTCCAAGATTGTTTCAACGAACACGAGCTCGATTTGCAATTATGCGTTTTACGTTTTAACACCTTTGCTCTCCAACGGTGACTCTCGGTCACCACTGAGATTGTTGAACTTGAATGGCGACAATATTTATTTATCTTTGATTCTTTTAGAATATCGCTTCATAAATAGATTTTATAGTATAAGCTCTTTATAATATAATCTTATGAAGTGTAATTTTATCTTATAAGTAGATGAGAACGCCTGGAGTGCAAAGGGTTAATAATAATAATAAAATGATTTTATAATATTTTTCTTTCTTTATTCCTTTTATTAGGAAGTGTATATATATATATATATATAATAATGATTATACGATTTAAATTATTTTATTTAATTTATTTTAATAATTTTATTAAAACAAATTTACACTTCCTACTAAAGAAATAAAGATCTATTGATCAATTATATATTTATTATTTTTCTTAATTCTTTTTCGTTAAATAATTCCTTTCAACGTTCTCTTTCAGTTCCTCACGAAGAATCCTGTGAAGAGACTCGGTTGCGGGCTACGAGGGGAGGAGGACGTACGGAGCCACGCGTTTTTCCGACGTATCGATTGGGAGAAGATAGAGAATCGGGAGGTGCAGCCACCGTTCAAGCCGAAAATCGTGAGTATAAGATGAGGCGAAGAAAGGAAGGAAGAGAGGAGAAGTTGAACGTTTGATTCCGTAGAAACATCGCAAGGACGTAAGCAACTTCGATAAACAGTTCACCTCGGAGAAGACGGATTTGACTCCCACGGACAAGTTGTTCATGATGAACCTGGATCAAACGGAGTTTATGGGTTTCTCGTTTCTCAATCCGGAATTCGTGCAACACGTTTAAATCGATGGAATATCCTATAAGTCACTGGCTAGTTTTAATCTCATACGTTTCTCTCTCCCTCCATCTCTCCCTTCAGAGACATCTTCATCTTCGCTACTCAGGGGCTTTCACCGTTTCATTTCCCTATCTCTTTCTCTGTCTATCTATCTCTATCTCTATCTCTATCTCTATCTCTATCTCTGTACTTCTTCCTCCCCCCCGATATCGATCCACTTTCTCCATTCTTCGAAACTTGGCAACTTGGTATCTCGGTTACCAAAGATAANAAAAAAAAAAAAAAAAAAAAAAAAAACTTTTCACTTTGTAATCTTTAATAATCTCAGAGATCGGATCCCTCGTATCGCGTCGGTTATCGCGTTGGATTCGCCCGATGAAACGAAACGGGATGAAAATCGGAAGGTACGAGATCGGGTGGTAAGAGAAAAGAAAAGAAAAAGAGGAGAAAATAAATTACGATCGCAAATCGTTGAATGGAAAACGTCGCGCTTCCGTTTTTATCGGAAAATATATTTCCCAATATATTGCCCTTCTCGTTCTTCTCCCTCCCCCCCGCCCCCCCCCACCCTCGATACGTTTTCTTCGATTATTTTCCGGGACACGTATATACACGTACACGTACACACACGTACACACACATACACGCGACTGTGTAAATTATACATATTGAACAAATGAATTATATTCCTATTGTTATTATGATTTATTATTATTATTATTATTATTGTTGTTGTTGCTGTTGTTATTATTATTATTATTATTATTACTATTATTATTAGATATATTCTTCAACTTATAGAAATAATCGCGAATTGTTATATACGTGTTATACGAATTTATTAAATTTCAATCCGCGAATTAATTTCGTTTAATTAAACGATTTTCTCTTATGTAATCTTTCCAGCTAGTTAAGATAATTAAGCGAATTAACTTTTTTTTTTTTTTTTGCCTGACACGGATAAAAAAAATTTTAACGAACGGTAACAAACGTTCGATTTCTAGTCCCACACATTTCCATACAGGTATAATGCTTATACGTATGTATAACGTGTGCCTATATACGGAGAAAAATTATACGATATATATATATATATATATATATATGTATCGTATATTTGCTCCTCGCTAAATTAATTGGTTATCGAAGCACGAACTCGAAGCGCGTTTTCTTCTGAATGCCATTTATTCACTTCCAAGAACGTGCTCGGTGAGCTTGACGGTGGTAGTGAGATTATAACGATCGTAAGTAATTTTATATGACGTGAGGAACTGCAACAATATTGACGTTGTTGTTTGCGAAAAAAGAGAGAAAAAAAAAAAAAAAGAAGAAAAAGAAACACGTACAGACGATTAGGATAATGCTAGGATGATCGACGATACGGTCGAATCGAGTTATTCTTGTCTCGTTTGTTAATCGATGTCCATTCGATACTTGCCTCGTTGTTATCGATCGAACGAAGCGAGTATAGGCAGTGGAAAGACAGTGGAACGGTTATTTCATCACACCTCATATTTTCCTCGCTTTTTTCGATTCGTTGATTCGATTCGAGTTGTTCGCTCGAAACGACGAAAGGGCGATGCTTCGGTATTCCTCGATGAAGCTCTTCTCGTGCCTGAAATCCTCGCTCCGGTGATATACGCCTTTTCTATCGAGCTCGTTTCGGCTCGCGTCATCGAGGACGAAAACAATGAAACGACGAACGAAATGTTCGATCGATTTTGCGAAGTCGCGAAAAATTTTTTCCTCCTCGATCTCTCTTTTTTTCGGTCGGTTGCCATGCCGACGCTCGATAGTAGGATTAATTATTACTTGTCGATTAATTAAGCGTAATTGTCGTAGATATATATATATATATAAATATAAATATATATATATACATACATATACACACAGACACACACATATGTATACAAGTTGACTGGCTCGTTAATTTTTACGAGCGTCCCCTTTTTTTCTAATATATATATATATATATATAGACACACACGTTTCACGTTCGCGACTCGACGAGTGACAGTGGAACCGTTCGACAATCGAAACTGTTCGAGTTTACGAGTGCGTTTCGCTTAGAACATTAACTCTACACATTAGCAGCCATCCTCGATGAATTTTTCACTCTTCGAGAATAAAGCGTACACGTTAATATAGCGCGCACGCACACGGACTCGTACCCTTCCATTCGGGACCTTTGTTATCTCTCGCTCGTAACGATCTTCCATTTTAAAAAAACCTTTGCCTCCTTTGTCCTCTAATGATCGTCCGTTGGCGGACAAAGGATACGAGTTCGTGAATTTCGAAAGAAGAAGAGAGAAAAGGAAAAGAAAACAATCAAGCGTATTAATTACGTGTTCCAATAAATAAGCGATTATCGTAACGTAATTCTCGCCTCCTTTATTCAACGGGTGATTCAATCATATTCTTCTATCCACGAATTTACGTAATCTCGTCAATATCCCACCGCTCTTCTCTTATTCGATTCGATCCAATTCTAGAATCACACGCACCTCGTTACGTGTTACGATTCCCCTGTTCGTCAAGATGACTTTTTTTTTTCTTTTCCAACCAACGATTCGCGTGACAAAGTGACGATTTCAATCGATTTCGATGATTTTAATTTATCGAAAAATCCAAAACGATTAATGGTAAATTGCGTTCTGTTTGTATCGGGACAATATATCGATCTCAGAAAATAAAAATTCCTCCAATTTCACTGATCAATTTTTTTTTTTTTTT